TCTGCAACCTTTCCTATTTCTCAAATACCACCTATCCCGTTGATAGACTCCCATGCATTTCTTCTCTTAATGCCCACACCCAGAGTGTAAGAAGGCAATTTCTTCTCCATTGTCCCCCTCGCCCTCTCAATATTATCTTGACTCTGCCATAATCACTCCCCCTCAATGTCTGGCTTCCACTGACAGCCAAAATCCAGATTCTCCTTAACAACATCCATCTCATGGGCAGTAAGCCATGAGTCTCTCCTCTTCTTACCCACTCCCTCTTCTGCTATCCCCTCTGCCACAAACACCTGCCCTACTTCCACCAACCATGCTCCAAAAGAACCCCTCCCCCCCTTCTCAAAAAAAAGAAAACCTTTTTCTTCTAACCTTTTCCCTCTTTTAGTCCACAACTGGACCCGCGTTCCATCAATCGGTCCCTTTTCCAGCAATTCTCTCTAGCTTCCTGCTGGCCCTGCTGCTGTACCCCGAGCTAAGGGATGATGCCTTCTATCATCCTACCCCTCAGTTATTTCAACCAAACCAAGAGGATTGTTTCAACGTGAACACGGAGTACTAATCAGTAGTCCAAAGAAATTGAGTACATTGATTAGACCAAACCAAACATTGACATCTTGCAAGCTGTGGCCTTTCTCTACAATGGCAACTCCTTAGACATGACATTTTTAAAGGTAATGCCGACACTAAGGACAAGGTTAAAAACATACAAATATAATTTTCTTTTTTTAAAAAAAAAGGCGTATGAGATAGCTCAAACCTTGCATGCGTCAACCAAGACATGGGACATGGAACCTATCTCCAGCTAGCCCGAACTCAGTACCCCCATCTAGGGAAGCACCCAAGCACCCCTAGAGGCATTTGCCCCCCTATTCAATGTTGCCCAAATGAATATATCATTATTAGGAACATCCGCAGTTTGGGCAATGCCCTTAAGAAAAAAAGGGCTTCTGGGAGACTCACTTAAGTATGCCTCCAAAGTTTTAGCTTCAAAATGAAGGCGGGCTCAGCATCCTCTCTCCCCCCAGTGCACCAAGGCCTGACCAGGGTGTTTCTGGGGATTTGGGCCATTTGAGAGTCTCTATCCATGACCTAGTAATTGCCAACGTAGGGTATTTTTCAGTCTTGGTTTGTCTCTCAAGAATCTCAGACCAGTTTCAATAGAAATTTTAAGTGATATGTGGCTCCAATAGATGCCAACTGAGAATTTTTTGGAGCAACTCAATCAAGTTGCCTCCATGTTGCCTAACCCTTAGGTCGTAGGTGACGATTTAAATGTAACCAGATGGTCTTTGAAGAAGAACCAGAATGGTCAGATTATCACCACCATGTCAACCTTCTTCATTTTATCTTCAGGAACAACTTCTCAAACATCATCCCACTCAATGTGTCAGCCTTTACCTGACCCATCCACGTGATCAGCCAAACACTAACCAAAATTGTTAGGTGGGTAACCTCTATAGAGTGGGAGGACCAATTCCTAGGGACCCACTTTTACCCTCTCTAGCAAAGATAGCCTCAAACCACAAGTGCATTCTCCTTGCCACTCTATCAATATCGATCAACCACAAACCCTTCTAATTCAAAATGATGGGGCTCGAGGAGCCAAGACCTCATGCCCCAATGGTGGTCCTCTTATAACGCAGAAGGATGGGCCCAGCGATTGAAAAAGCGGACTGCCCAATGCCTAGGCGGCATCGCCAGGCCTAGGCGGCCAATATGGGCGGTCGCCTAAGCTGTATGGAACTTGCCTAGGCGGGCACCCAGCGCCCAACCCAGGGCGGCTGCCCAGGGCCTGCACCCCGCCTAGGTGGGCCCCCCGACCAAAGGTGGAAATTTTTTTTTTTTGTATTGATTTTTTTAAAAAATATAAAGGGTTAGAAGAATGGTTTGCAGTTCATTGGAAACCTAAAACTCACTGGAGCCCATTTTAGATAGAGAAAGCCTCCAAAAAAACTAGTTTTTTGTGATTTCTTATTTCTTTAAGATCGAAAGGTTTCTCAAAGTTGATAAAAATTGATCAAAACATCACCTATTGATATTAGATTTAATTTTTGATGTTTTATAACTCTATTGAGGGGTTTTTTAGAAAATTTTTAGTTCTTAGGAGCATAAGGTGGAAGTTTGAAGATTGAGCAATCAAACTCAAAGTAAGTGCCCTAAATACCTAATTTTTATTTTTTATACTATATATCCTTTTTTTATTCAAATGGGCATCCTTTTTGGATTCGACTAGGCCGCCCAGGTTCTGGGCGCCCGCCTAGGCGCTGGGCAGCCTGGACCCCCCAGGTCGCCTAGGACCCGCCTAACGCTTTTTAAAACACTGGACGGGCCAATTCTGTCTGGAAAAGAAGCTATAATTGCTAAAACAACCCTTGAGACAACAGAGCAACAGCCTACCAAGAAACATTCCAAAAACTAAGAGTCCATTTCCATAAGTACACAATTGTTTGTTGTGTCATACCCATATAGCAATGCTGGGAAAAAAGTCATTACTATTATTTCCAATAAATTAGGACACAACATATCCGACAAATTGTTTTCATCACATTCATCATGATCGAATTAAATTGTAAGGGCTAATTCACATTCTAATTAATATATCCGACCATGAACTTGCTTCCTGTAAGCATCATTGCATACTAAGACCAAGTAAGGAACATGCTGCATTCAAGAACAATGATCCAAGAGACTAGGGTTCTCCATGAGGTTAAGCGTAAGAAAGTGTCTCCTGGGCTCCCAACACAACGTTTAAAGGACACATTTAATAATAATAATAAAAACAATAACGACAATAAAACAACGACAAGTGGTAATAGCAGTACTGAGAATAATTATAATGATGTCGTTCGTTATTGTCATTGCTGCTGCTGCTGCTGCTGTATAGCCAACTAAGCCCAGATGACCGTCAGCCTCCAGTGGCTGAACCTCCGCAATTTTTTGGAATTTCAGATGGCCTTCTCAGGGGATCTCTTTACTCAAAAGAAATGGACCCAAATTTAACAAGAAATGGAAGAAAGTTTCAAATAGCACATCTAACCTTGTAAAAGTGCATTGATTCTGTACTCTCAAAGCAAGACTGACTTCAAATATGAAAATTAGTATTTTCCGCAAAACAATGGTAGGACTTATTAACATGAACTTCCACCCATTACAATTGAAAATATTCAATACTATCTATGGACATGATAAGTGTAACATTATCTTCGGATATTATAAACATTTTGCCAACCTCTTCTCCAGATACAATACCACATTCATAACAAACTGAGGAACAGAAATAATCACATATCCATGCACTTCCAGAACATACCATATCTAATAGCCTTAGAAGTCCTTTTGTATCAAATCAAAGACATTGATATGCTTCTGCTATATTCGCACTTTGAACTACAGAAATAAAAAGAAGCATATTTGCAACATTGTCAATAACAATGCATGTCATCAGATGAATTCAAGGAATCACAGCTGCAAGTTAGGGAGCCAAAAATTGAGATCCTAAGTGTACTGCAATAGTTCCCATAGACCAGAAACATCATTAAGCTGGACCAAGACAGGCCACAAAATGCAAACCTGCCACTTGCAGGCTTGTTACACAAGGGAGCAGATGATAAGGCACTCAAATGGAACAATCTTGAAGTGTCATGTCAGCCAACATGCATTCCACCCCGATCAAGGTGATAGACAACCATGAAGGCGTTTATGACGAACAATAATAAGTTTTCAATTAATTCTAATAGGTTATATGTATGTTTGAGCAAAGAAATAGGTTTTGCAATCTCAAATATTGTTGCAATATTACTCCCAGACATGATAATACAATATAATCAAATATTATATTATCGACACCATATTGAACCCTAGGCCTGGACATTTTTCTCAAAAAAAGAAACAAAACAAAAAAAAAGACTAGGCCTGGCCATGACCCATGCCAAGGAATGGACCCTTGGCCTAGGTGGTCAAGGTCGCAAAGCCACAACATGACGTCAAGAGTTCCAATCCTACAATGTAAATATGTCATTGCAGTATTGGATGAGATATTTTCTTATTGTTTTCATGGTGCTGATATTGCAGTACGCTTCCAATGTCTAACACACAAACTATATAACCTTAAAAATAAGCACTAGATTTCCAAAAGCAAGAAATCACACTAAACTGGATATACCCAATGCCATGATGCTTTGCACCACAAAGGCAAGTCACTAGGGCCCAAGGTCTATCATCATCACATGGTTTGAGTCCCAGCTTATTCACACAAAAAGATCGAAAGTAAAAACCAGGTTAATTTAAAATACAATGAGACATGAAGAAAAAAAAATACAGTTACATCCTGAATTGCAGAAACGAATAAAATACTAATTTTAGCACTTTATATGCCTGCACAACAAAAAAGAAGTATGTAGTACACAAAATAGAAACTCAGAAACAATCTCATTAACTCTTAATTCATTCAGAGGCAGAAATGCACTTCTGTCATACACAACCCAGAACAACACACAATAGACCACTAATTGGATTATTTAGCAGTAAAGTTAACAAGTTGTAATATGTCACGAAGTCCAGCTTCAACCATCCAGAATTACAGAGTATACATGGTCCATTTTGCAATAGAGGCGAGGTGCAGTTACACACCCACATCAACAAAAGCATATATCAACAAGGATCTGAATGTAGCAATTGATGTCATCGATTTAGTACTAATATCAGCAAACACAAATAATTATCCAAGCCACCAACCATAGAACAAGCTAAACTCAGTCACATAAAGGTATCAACAATTCATTTTCTGCTAACAGATTTGAAACTCTACAAGCATCATCCTGATAATATGTATCTCCCTAACCTTTTAAGCACAAGCAATGAAGAAGAAATTTCGAATTTTCAAACGAAAGCAGACCAATGCAATGGAATTTAACTAAGTTTGAGTATGCTAATTGGCCTACAACAAATACATCATCTCAAGCATAAGCTGCATAACTAATATATTTTGCGAATATGAGATGAAAAGGCATCTCATGATAATTATCAAGGGCCCAAAAATTTCAAATACAAACAGGGCTGGCCTAACTTACAAAATCGGCATGATGAATACAGTTGACAGTAAATCTACATCTTTACTGTCAAAAACTTGAAACTCCATGAGGGATGCAAAACGCAAAGTTACAAAAAGATACCCCATCCAGTCTCATAAATAAATTAGAATGCTGAATACAATAAAATACAACATCAGACCACAGGAAGTGTGACCCACAAACTAAAAACCACATTCGAGCCATAAACCCAGGGAAATAGAACACACGTATCAAAGGATTTTGAGGACAACAGAAGTGACAATAGCAGTAAGAAAACAGGGTAAGTTGCTAGTTAGATAGAAGGCATCAGATGTACTTCCAGTTGGACCACCAGCTGGAGAGAGGAGCCCAGGAAGCGTCAAAGATCCTCCTCCAGTTGATGACTTGGGAATTGTTGAAGGGACAGATGATTGAGATGGCGATGGTGTTGGAGATAGTGAAGAGATGGCCAATGCAGATGGTGGAGGAATCAAAGAAGGGAACAAGTGGGCTCCTGCATATAGGGGGAACATCAGTCTGGCTTCAAAACTGGAAGCATTAAGAACTTTACAAACTGCTCAGGGATTTAATTTCATTGCAAGTGTAGTTCCATAGATTATTTCAAGACCTTAAATGTCACGTATCTAAAAAAAAATAAGAAATTTAAAACATTTAACATTTCATTTCTTTACCAACTCTTAAGTTGGTCACAAATCATTTGTCCCTCATTGACCTACAACAACAGCCTTACAAAAAAAAAGACCGAAACAGAATTTTGGAGAGATTAAGAAAAAAAATTGCCAGTTTTGAGCTCAAAACCCTCGATCCACTATCTCTTTAATTCTCCCTGTATTCTCAACCAAAATTCATGAACTTTTGTGTCAAAAATCCATATTGGAGCGCTTTAACAAATATTTAACACAATTTATCCAATCAAAATCCTTGTTCAAAGAGATTTAGAGTCAAAAGTGTAGGGTTTCAATTTTATCCAAAACCCTCAATTTTCAAAAAAAAATTACATATATTCTTTTTTTGGGTTAGATTTTATCAGAGTCTTTGTTGTAGAGAGTGTTATCATCAAAATCTAAATTACATCGTTCAAGAAGTTAACCCCCAATACAATATCATTAACGGTATCAAAAGATCCCAATAGCCTGGCAAGCTGCATAACCGAGTATCTAGGGCGAACCCGGACTCACTGATTTTTTGACCACTGGTACTTCTACTAAAATCAATTGAAGATGTTAAATTAATGAACCATGCTTTCACAGAATTAAAAGCTTGAGTTCAAATTTTTATAATAAGATTAACTGGAGATAATTAGCCTTTACCTGGGCATTGAGGCTGAAGAGATGTGGACAAGCTGCAATCAAAATATCCCAAAAGCAAGAAATGAGAATAAACAGACAAGAAAATGAAAAATTCTAATAAGAAAAATCAGAATATCTTTTACTATGAATGAGTTAAAGTCAAATAGTAAGTAAACATCACACACACATTTGAACATCACACACACATACACATGACCTGGTGTGTGTGTGTTTGTGTGTGGTCGGAGACATGGTGAAGAGTCGGGTATGATGAAGAAAAGTATGGTTTACATGGTGATAATGGTTCCATTGACAAAGCCATCATACGAGCAAGAGCTAACATTGCAACCCGCGCTAGTGGGTTGGACAGTGACATTTCCAAGCATAAGGTTACTATTCTTGCATTGCATGCTTGAACAAGACACCGCCAGAGGTGAAGGAGTACAATAAAGGCTGCAACCAAGCCCACAACATCAACTAATCAAATGACCAAAGGAGAGTAAGAAGAATGAAGACAAAATTAGGAGAAAAAGAGGATAGGTGATTACTTGAGATTTCCTGGGCCACAACTACATTGAACACAGTGACCAGCGGTAATGGAATAGCTTCCATTAGCCACAATAAGACCAGCATCTGAAGAGAACCTTGGAAACCCAGAAGCGCATGCTGCATAACAGAAATAACAAACCCATTTAACCAACCTGGCAACCTCAGAAAGAGAGGTAGGATCGAAAGAGTGTTCTTGGTGAATCAAAATGTCCAGAAACTAGGAAGAAAAGGAAAAGGGAAATGCACCCATTCCATTAAAAAACCAAGAAACATAGGTGAGGAGGCCCCATAGGAAAAGCTTCATCTGAAGTATCCTCAGACTCAAGCAGTACGAAAGCAAACCCAATCTCAAAATTTTTAATTTTAAACAAACATAGCAATCTTTCTCAACAAAAATATCCAAGAGTGAGGGCATAACAAGAAAAAGAAGGCAATTTACCCATCCCATTCAAAAACCAGCAATTAAATACAAAGGAAAATAACTTCTATGAAGAAACCCTTCAGCTCTGCATCTAAAAAGTCAAAACTAACCTCAAAAATCAGCTCCGGGAAAACCTCAACACTTCTAGAATAAAAATGTCAAAAAAAAAAATGCGGACCGAAAATAAACAAAGACAATTCACTAATCCCATTCAAAAAAAAGAAAAACAGAGAGAATGCCTATACAAAAAGCATCGTCTCAAGAAACCCTTCAATTCAGCATTAAGAAAAGCAAAAACAACTACAAGAAATGAGTTTTCTACTGAAGCACAACATTGATTCAGAGATATAAGAAATGCATAGAGAGAGAGAGAGAGAGAGAGAGAGAGACAGAGAGAATGTGAACCCACCCGGCAAGGGGATGGCCAGGATATCTCCAGGCTTCACAAGGGGGGACCCCATGGCATTGACAGCCATGAGGTCTGTCACGGTCGTGGCATAGCGCGCCGCCACCGCCGAGAGTGTGTCCCCCACCACCACCACATATGACAGGTAAACGGCCGGCAGCCCATTGTCTGATGAGTTGAAGCACGCGCATGGCAAGGGCACCACCAGCGGCTGCCCAACGTCAATGAGGTCAGGGTCAGAGATCGAGTTGGCATCACGCAGCTGGTCCGCCGTCACCAGGCTCCCAAACACTGACCCCGCAATGCTTGTGAGTGTGTCGGAGGGCCGAACGTGGTACACAATGGAGGAGGCACGGCGGATGCCATTGACGCATGCACAGGTAATAGGGATTTTGAGGAAGACTTGGGAAGGGAGGATGTGGTTCTCTATATCAGGGTAAGAGAGGTCGATGGCATTGGCAGTAATGAGTGAGACGGGGTCGACCTGGAAGCGGATCGCCACCTCCGAGACCTTGAGGTCAGTGGGTAGGGTGTACCCAACCATGGCATTGCACGAGTCCGAGCCACTACAGGGCTCGATGGTGGACTTGCAGGAGGCCGTCGGGGCCAGGAGCAGTAGTAGCAGGGGCAGCAGCTCCAGGACATTTCGTTTTAGTCTGCCGCCACCTCCATCCATGCCTGCTTGCCTCTTTCTCCCTCTACCAACCCCAAGAGCTTTACCTCTGAGCCGTCTCTTTCTCTCTCTCTCCCGAAAGACCAATAAGCTCCTCTCTCGCACCCAGCTGCCTCACCTTCTCTGGACCTTGCGGCAAAAGCCCTCTCTCTCTCACCTTCTCTGGACCTTGCGACAAATGCCCTCTCTCTCCCTCTCTGTGACAGCTAGTAGCAACTCACCCTGCTCTGTCTGCTTTTTTTTCCGAGTGTGTGAAGAGGGAGTGTGGTGAAAAAGTTGGTTCCATATGTGCTCTGCTTCAGCGCCAGGGGTGATGGGACCAAGATCGCAGCATAGAAAAAATGTTGGTTTTTTGTTTTTTTTTCTCTTTTTTAAACAGTGTTTTGTGAGTCAGCGTACTCACTAGCCCGTACAATCACAAACGTCCGTCTTTAAGATAGAACATCCGCAACGAAAGATTTTTATCTAATAGATAGAAAAATATTTCAATAAAAGTATTTTAAATTTTTATTTTATGATATATTTATTTTTTATATGATTAATGGTCTTATAAAACCTATCCACACTTATATGCATGCAAGACCTCAAAAAGATCACATAAACGAATGGCTTGATTTTTGTAAATATCTACGTAAAATTTAAAAGGTATCATTTGGATCCTACACACAAAGGTGTAGAGGGTGTTAGTTTGCTTTTTATATTTATGATCATCCTTGTGCAGATCATGGATTACTGCATATTTAGATCCAAAATCGATACAAATAAATTTTCAAAAGAGCCCGTATGAAAATAGTATGAATCAGGGGACTCATTAAAACGGGGTGTTTGGTTTTTGATATTTAATGGAAACCGGAGGCCAGGTCCCGCAGTTTGACTACCTTCCATTTCAGATTTCGCCTAGCGTCAGGTTATTAATTAGAATTATTGCAGTGAATAGGTAGGCGGTTATAAATGGCAACAATTGATGCATGTCAAAGGAGCAAAACCCATCTTCGTCGGGGAGCTATGGTCCAAGATCTTCGTAACATATTATTATTATCATTAGAGAATTTTGTTCACACATCATCATCAACTCTTTAATAATTTCCGAATATTCAGTTATTTCAACCCATCATCAAGTGTAAAAATATTTCGATAAATTTCTTCAATATATTGGAAACACTTGCATGTAGAAAACCTTCTATCAGGTACAACGAGTGCCCACTTGTGCACTTTGATATGAAGACCAATCAAAAGACCGATCTTTACCTTTCTCTATTTGTCCCCATAATTTTTTATGGAGCTCTTATGCAAAACACTTAGTTTAAGAGCTTGTTTGGACGTACTAATGACCCTCTTATGTAAAACTAGCAGGGGCACGTGCTCCGCACATGTACGAATAAATTTAGTTGAGATAGTAAATAACTATGTATTTTTGTAGTAAAAAATTTTGTAGTTATTTAGAATAATAATCTTTTGTTTTTATGTTGAGATGTTTTTATTTTATTTTATTAGGGTAATTCAGTGGGGAAGACACCCCAACCGTTTTTTAAGTGTATTAGGATTTAACATTTTTAAGGTATTAATGGGGTGATGTTAGTGGTGGGAATGGAAACCACAACATGGAGCAGATCTATTGATTGAAGTGAGTTTGAGATAGTGAATATTTACATAAATGATGGTGTGTTTGAAAGGGATTTTTTGACGAAATTTTCTTTTTCATGAAGATCCAATATTGTTTTAGAGGAGAGCATAAGCCAAAATACGTAAATAATAATTTTATGCTTTTTTTAATCATGGTCTTGTAGTACATTGGAAGTGTAGTGGAAGTTCTATCAAGCAATCTTGAAATAAGATTGACTTGTATGATGAAGTAACTGTCAGTTTACTGAGATATATTGCCGAGTGGTCAACTTAAAATATGACTAAATGATATTGAAATATAGTAAAAATTCTATAAGAATTCATTTTGAGGGATTAGGAGCCTCTCATTGAATTACATGAAGTTTTGATATAATTTGATGTATTATGAGATCTATTATGTGCAAGAAGATATATTCTCGACCACTCGCATTTAAATACCTCAAATTGAGGTGTAATTTGTTGGAAATATAATGTACAACATAATAATTTTATTCAAAAATGTTGAACGGGACATGATTTTGCCTTATTTTCGTATTATGTGGTAAAGGCTTGTCTTCATTGATCGTTAAGAACTCAATTCACCATAAAAAGTGAGTTTTGGTCACTAATATTGAGGTTTCCTTTTATTTGAAAAAATAATGTAAATTAATAGAAATATATTGACTGAAAATTTTAATTCAATCAGCATATTAACCTCATAAGATGCCACGATGTACTTTACAAGATATATAAGTTAGGAGGTCATGATGGATCCATAAAAAGGCATTACTTTTTTTAGCATACAGTATCAATATCTGATTTCTTGTGTCCATCATGTCCATCGAAGTTTAAATTCTCTTTACATCTCCATTCTCTCTCAAGTGATCTTCCCTTAAAAATAGTAGAAAAAAAAAAAGATATTTGCTAATATGGTCTTAATTGGGAAATCAATATAATCGAAATGTATACATGAGAAGCGTAACATTTCCAATACAATATTAAAGAAATGGTCACGATGAATTTCCATCAGAAGAGAATTATAAGAATCTCTGCGAGATTGAATAATGTTATCTCAATTGAATAGAATAAAAGTATAAAACAATCATAAGTATTTCGGACAATGCTTGCAAATCTGAGCTTGTAAAAGGGTATGAACAAGACGTACGTACCACAAAAGGGTATAGAACAAAATAATATGAACAAAACCTGTCCTAGAACTTGGGCCACAAACTCCTTGTGAAATCAATGAGCTTTGAAGGTCTGAAATTTAACTGAATTATAGTCCAAGTATATTTCTGACAGGAAGGAAAGCCTTCAAGGCCATCAAACCTTGGTAGATATACTCTATAAGATAGTTTCCACTGCAAGTTGCTCGTTCAAGGATTTTCCAAACATCGTTATAAAAGTAAACATAAAGGGTACCATCATATACTCTGGCAAATAAAGGAAATTATTTATACATGGTCTACACTCCCATCTACAAACAACAGACTCCCCCTAAATATAGAATCTGAGAAGTCATGCTCATACTAAATTTACAATATTTATATAAACATATCTACATGGTACTGAATGCATAGAGAAAATTGTTCAAACATTTGTATATACAGAACTTAAGACTTTGTGGATGCCAGTGCGGTGTATTTATCAAAATGTCAAACAAAGCAAATTGGTAATCCCCTTCTAACTGCACGTTGTCCTGGTAGTGTAGTCTTATTCCTTCAATCCGTTTGTTTGTCAATTCAAGCACCAATTTTTCCAACACCAATTCATATTCCATTGTCTCTATGTAATAAAACATCAGCATCCGTGATATTTTTGAGATTTCCCTATAGCTGCATAATGAATAAATGAATGAGAAAGAATATTAATAAAAGAATATACTAAAAAAGAATGATACTTATAGTTATGCCATTCTCCTATGTGTAGATATATGAAGAGATTGAGAGAATGAAGTATTTTTGAAGTTTCCAGGTAGGTGTGTGTGTGAGGTCTAATTATACCTATTTTAATTTTTTATGTGTATATCCAAATTGAGGGAGTGAGTGAAAAAGAGAGAATAGAGAGAGAGATTAGAGTACCTGTCTTCAGATTTTGCCTTTTCAGTGCATCTAGAAGGATACGTTTTTTCTTTTGTTGAAGATCATGAATGAAATCATATTTCTTACTGAAGCCATCTCCTATATTATTGCATAGAGATTTTATATAATCTCTATCATGTATCTGTCAAGAGATAAAGAAGTAAATCATTTATTTCTATAATAAATAAGTAAACAAAAGTGTAAAATTTCGAATAAATCGATGAATATGATATGTATAGAAACTTATTGAAGGTGGCATTGGATCAGTACTTATTGAAGGAGAACCGTTGTAAATATATATGAAAAGAGGAATATGTGTATTATACATAAAATGCAACACAATACCGACCCTTCAAGATTGAAAGCCAACTTCTTTTCATATTTTAAATTTAATTCGTATGAAAAGTATATCATGAACGTGCAATAAGTATCTTTGTATCTTTTGTCCATGATGATCAACAAGTCGATGGAAGTTTTTAGGATGATGTTAATAAATTCCAAGGTGATATGGAAAGTTTTTTTCCACATGCTTAACGATTGTTGTCGACAAGAAAATATTTTAAAAATACAATGATACAGAGAAAAAGATGGATAAAGAGAGAAAGAGAAAGTGATACAAACGAAAAATAATGAATGTTTCTCTTGGCTAGATGGTGGAACTAAGCGTATTCAGACTGGCTTTCCTCTATCTTGTCAAGTTGTAAAACCAATACCGTCCTTGTAAAGATACCTATGGTCACATCATTTCAAACATGACAATAATAAACATAATAATTATTTCTATAGACAATCAAACTCAAAAAAAGAAATCTACGCAATCTTTGAAAAGCACAAACATGAGCATCATCCTAGAGAGAGAAACATCAGAGGAGGCTTGTAAGGATTATGAAGAACTTAAGGATATGTAGTGATTGTCATATATTTGGGAAATTTGTGACCGCGACAGAACCGGAGTATATTGATCAGCGATACAATGCATTTTTATCATTTTAAGGATGGAGAATGTTCATGTGGGTTTACTTGTGATAATCAGGAAGATATATTTATGAGCATTGAAATAAATTTGCCAGTATATTTTTAACCATTCTCAATAGAATTCAGATAGTGTTAGAAACATGGTCATTTATGAGCATTTGGAGCGTTGAAAGTGCAATAGAAATCAGCCACTGAATTAGATTCTTTACTGCTTGCATATCAATTGCAAAGAATGTTTTAGGTGTCTGTAGGCTAGAATGTTCCATCTTAGAATGTTTAATTAATGGCACCAACAATAAGAAGATTGAAATGGGAGTAGACAAAGAAGATCAAATTATATAATTCCTAAAATTATTCTTTTCTACAAGATAACATGATCATGTTGAACAAAATTGTGGCTGTATACATCACATTTAGTCGTTTGCAGCTTGCCCATCTGATTTTCTCTAGAGTGAGAAGTCCTACAAGTGGAACGTTATGATTAGGGGTTATGGCACAAGAGGCCAATTTGATAAGTCAATCCTACTGTATCGTAAGATTTTAGAAATGGGAAAAGTTTATATAGAGCTAAGGATTTAAACAATCAAATTTGAGCCTACCTAAAAGATTTCATTAGAAAAGGTTGTTTCTCAAATATCTTCAAATTGATTATCTCGACATGAGAAA